TAGAGGTGTCATAGGCATTAGTGTAGTAATTGGAGCCCTCTCGAGACAACTGCCTGGGTTTGAATTCTGGCTCTAGCTGTATGACTTTTGTCAAGTAACTTAACCTCTCTGTGTCTCAGTTGCCTCATCTATAACATGGATGCTAATAGTACCTACCTCATAGAATTGTTTTGGGAGTAAACGAAAAACATGTAAAATGCTGAAGTGCCTGGTCTACAGTAAGTGCTCAATAAATGTTAACTATTGTGATTGCTGCTGAATCAGCTACATGATGAGAAAACTGGCCAAACAAGTGTTAAAGAGAGACGGTGCTTTTATTTTGCCCTTGGTCATGTTTATTTGCCGGGTCTTTCTTTCCACACCGTGCCCCCTTCCCAGCTAAGACTATGATTTTAGGGGCTGTGGCAATGCCTGTGACCTGATCTCCTTGTCTCCATCTCACCCACTGCAATCCATCTGCCACGCAGCCTCCAGGGTGGTCTTAGAAGGGTGGGTCACCCCCCACCCCCACCAAGAAATACCTTCGGTAGTCCCCATCACCTCTGGGTCAAGGCTAGCTTCTTAGCCAGCCAATTCAGGCTGTGACTGCCTCTCCGGCTTTATGGCCCACTGTTTTCTTGCCAGGAGTCTGCACTTGCCCACCCACTTCCCGGGGTACCTCGCTGTCCTATCCCTCCTGGCACATAATGTTGAGCTTCCTACCTCCCAGACCTCGCTTATGTTATTCCCTTGGCCTGGACTGCCCAGGCCTCATCTCTGTCTGTTGAAATCCTTAAAAATCCAGGCTGAATGATGCCTCCTCGAAACTGTCCCTGATTTCTCTGGAAAGGAAGGTCCCTTCCCTCCCCTATGCTATGGGCATTCTCCTTTTGCCTACGTTTAGGGGTCTCTCTCCCCATCCCCAAGTCCATGGCTTCCTGAGGTCAGGGACTGGGACTCAGCACTGTGGCTGGCTTACACGGAGTAGGTGCTACATGAATGAAAAATGAATGAATGAATAACGGATGGATGCGTACAGGACAAAGTCAGGGTTATTGCTACAGTGTGAGGCCTGCAGACAGGGCATCAGTGAGGGTCTGTCCCAGGCAGCTCCAGAGGCAGGGCCAAGGGGCCAGGAAGTTGTCGCTGCTGGTCTGAGCTCTAAGCTGCCCCCTCCCGGCACCCATGCAGTCCCCAGTGCTGATTCCCTTCCTTGCAGAGCTGACACATTTCTGGTTTAGAGGGTGAAGGGGTGAAAGCTACTCAGAGTCAGCCTCAGCCTAGCATTCTAGGAGGCTGGCTCTTGCGACTCAGCTTGGCTGCCCTTAAGGCCAAGGAGAAGGGCCAGACTCACTAATAAGGACCTGCTGGCAGCACCATCCTTGGAGCCCCATCCAGAGTAACCTTCCTCCACCCGCCAGGGACCTTAAGCTGCTGGTGAGTGTGAAGCCCACAGAACTGAGGGCTTAGCGCCACCTGCTGGCCACAAAGAAGACTTACTTCAGCAGAGAAAATCAGGGCCACTGGTCCTAGCTTTTCCACCAAACCTGAGGGAGAACCCCAGCCTTAAGGCATAACCCAGGGCGGGGCTGGAAAGCTCCAGGCATAGAGAGGCAGTTCGATCAAGCCTCCCTCCTCCGCGAAGGTGTTCTTGCCCACTGATGGTGCTACCTCCATCTGGGGGTACCCTTTCTCTATGGCACTAGCCTCAACTGGATCAAGAAGTTCACCTGAGTGCTACTCAGCCCAGCAGGAACTTCTGTGATAATTTTGTTTGTGATATTCAGCCTCCAGGACTGCATTCATTAGTCATCACATGACAGCAGAGGAAGCAGTCCAGCCCGTCCACATGCTATGTGCAGAGCTGGCTCGACTACAGGGCCCCTGAAAAGGAGAAGGGAAGTACCGCGTGTCACTGTGGCCCAGCAGGACTATGAGAGAAGCACCATTCTCCTTTGAGTTTGTAGATGAGGAAACAGGATCAGAAAGAGTGGTGTCTTCAACCATTCAGGCTTCTATAACAAAATACCATAGACTGGGTGGCTTATAAACAATAGACGTTTATTACTCACAGTCTGGAAGCTGGGAAGTCCAAGATCAAGGTGCCCGTGGATTCAGTGTCTGCTGAAGACCTGCTTCTTAAATGGCTGTCTTTCCCCTGTAACCTCACATGGTGGAAGGTGTGAGGGAGCTCTCTGGGGCCTTGTTACACAAGGGCACCAATCCCATTCCTGAGGGCTCCACCCTCATCACCTAATCACCTCCCAAAGGCCCCACTTCCAAATACCATCACCTTGGGCATTAGGATTTAACATGTGCATTTTAGGGGGATACAGACATTTAGCCTATAGCAGGAGGTAATTTGCCAAGATCTCACAGCTAGTAGGAGGCAGGTCCAAGATTTCAGTCAAAGTCTGTCTAATGCCACAGCCCTGCTCTTCCCTCTCCCTCTTCCCCACAGCACACAGTCCCAGTGACCCAAGCTCCAGCTTTTAGTAGGGCTGCACCTTGTTGTGTCACATTCACCACAGGGAGAAAGCTGTCTCCAGACCAAGGGCAAGAGGGAAGGTGGAACTCAGCAAGCCCCTGGGGCTACCTGAGATCCCAGATTGGAAACTGGCAGCAGGCTTGGCTGTTCTGTGACAGCCTAGATTATGTCCAAAACACCTATGGAGTCAGAACAACCTCATTGGCACTTTTTCTGGCCCACGTGCATGGTGAGCCCTCCATCTTCCTCCTCCTTACAGGAAGACTGAGGTCTTTGCCTTCCAGGCTCTTCTCCCAGCCAGTCAATTGGGCACATCTGCTACCCATCTGTCCCCAACTCATATCAATGGTGTAAGATGTGTCCTGGGCCTCAGTCCTGAGCTTCAGAGGGAAGGCAAGCCAGGCCACCCTCTTCCTGTGTGCTACTCTAGAAAAACTAGCCCACTCGCACACTAGAACCTGCCCAGGCCTAACACCTGTGGATTCGGCATCTCCAGCCAATGTCACCATGAGACCCACCCAAGCCCCACTAATGTGCACCTCTGGCCCTTCTGCTGGAGAGGACTCACGCAGCTTCTCCAGGGCCCACGCTCTCTCCACGGGCAGGAGGCTCTGTCCATCTGAGCTCCTTCCCCACATCTTTTTCTAGGGAGAACTTTCCCAGGGAGCTTGCATTCACAGGAGGAGAGCCACCCTGACACTCCACAGGTCTCTGGGCTCCCCAGGGCCTCTGAGGTCTCCCCAGGCCCAGATAACAGACACTCTGTGTTGTACCAAGTGTCCAGATAACTTTAGAAAGAAGACATGAATTCCGTTCATCAAAGTCATGTTGACCTCAGGTCCAAAGAACAACAGATTGATTCCAGCTTGAAAGAAGCTGGGGAAAGGAAGAACAGTGGGGTTAGTCGGAGCTGGGCCAGAAGTACCTTTTGTTGTGCTGGATTCTGGGTTATTGGCAGCCCCCCTGCCAGATCTATCCACCTAGGGCACTGACTCTTTATGGGAGGGGAAGCAGGTGCTACCCACCCCCTATTCTAGTTCCACTCTGGGCAGGTCCAACTCTGGAGTGATGTGAAGAGCAGGCTGCCTGGACTGGCCAACCTGGGTCCAGGAGTTTGAACTTCTCCCTTTCCCCTGACCTCAGTTCCTGGCAGGCACCAAGGCCAATGAGTGGAACGAGTAATACAAAGTGCCTGTGCAACTCCACAGCTTATTACCTTCAGTGGGGGAAGCAACAATGTTCGGGTATGCAGCACAGGTTGGCACTACCTAGAAGCTGTCTATAGCTTATAGGATCCAGTTAACCCTTTTGTTAGTCACACACCTCCCCTTCATGAAATACTGTTCCCTGCAGCACAAATATGTCCCAACCTCCTCCTCCCCAGATCATCAGCCCCCAGCTGAAGCAAACCAGACTTTGGGTAGTCTTTCCTCTGTTTACTCTTGACTTCATTTGATCAATTCCAGTTTTTTTCATAATGCCATTATTATTGCGGGAAGGGGAGTAACTTCAAGGTAATCCAGAGAGAAGCAAATGCAACACAGTTCTGACTGCGATGCAGATTCCTTTTTGTTAAATGCCGACTGTCTCCTTGGTTTCCCATTCACCTGGGAAGTAGAAGAATAAAAATCATTCCATAGTTCCATCCAAGGAGGGCGGCTCCAACAGTGTGCTCTTGAGCAGGCTGTCTGGGTCATCAGGAAAAGTCACTCCAGTTACTCACGTATTCTCTGAGAAACCTTGTCATCTCTGCCATCTGTCTCTGTGTAGGAACTGCCAAAGTCCTTCAGTTCCCCATCTCAAATAAGCGGTGAATGGGTTACTTCCCTCATTCGAATCCTTCAGTCCCTCCTTGTGTCAGTTTGGATCTTCCAGGAAGCAGCTTTCAAGATGGAGTCAGAAGTACAAGTGAGTACTTAGGGGTGGTTCCATGAAAGATAAAGGAGAGAGACTGTAGCGGGGAAAGCCTCAGACCACAGTGCAGGCTGACTGTGAAGGGAGAGGCAGGGGGAATGAGGGAGGACTAAGATGAGCCTCAGGCTTCAGTACAGTAAGTCCTCATTTAATGGAGTTGATAGGATCTAGGAAACTATGACTTTAAATAAAATAATGTAGAACAAAACCAATTTTCCCATAAGCTATAAGAAAGAATTAAGTTCACAGCGTATTTCTGGTCATAAAATACATCAACATTCTAAATAAGGACCAAACACTTCAATATTTAACACTGAAATAAATGTTTACATATACATTTAAGAATGATTACTAGGCCAGGCACGGTGGCTCATGCCTGTAATCCTCGCACTTTGGGAGCCCAAGGCAGGAGGATAGCTTGAGCTCAGGAGTTCGAGACCAGCCTAGACAACATGGCAAGACCTTATCTCTACAAAAAACACCAAAAAAATTAGCCAGGCATGGTGACCTGCGCCTGTAGTCCCACCTACTCAGGAAACTGAGGTGGGAGTATTGCTTGAGCCCAGGAAGTAGAGGTTACAGTAGGCCAAGATTGTGCCACTGCACTCTGGCCTGGGTGACAGTGTGTGAGACTTTGTCTTGAAAAAAAAAAAATTACTAAAAACAAATAATTATTCACCCAATGATGCCAGTTCAGAGTTGTGGGTGGCCAGAGCCTTTCCCAGTGGCTCAGAGCACTAAGTGGGCATCAACCCTGGAGAGGATGGCATCCGGCTGTAAGGCATGCTCACACCCACACCCTCACTCAGACTGGCACCATTTAGACACCCCAATTTGCTGAAAGTGCTCATCTCTGGGATCTGAGAGGAAACCAGAGTACCTGATGAAAACCCATGCAGAACATGCAAACTCCACAGAGCCAGTGGCTCAGGTTGGGAATTGATTTTTTTTTCATCAATGTGATAACAAAATGACATCAAACAAAATGATGTTATTCTAGCACCTAATACACAACTCTGAGGAAGTCGTGGCCACCTCAGATCCCCGAGATCAGCAGCTGGAGATCTCGGGATGTAGTTCAGTATTCCAGCATCAGCTCCCAACACGGAGCTCCTGCCTTGCTCAGTCAATGGCAGGAGCAGTGCGGGGAGAGCAGGGCACCAGCTGGAATACTGAAGCAGATCCCTGAGATCTGCAGCTGGAGCCCGTCAGCTGACTGCACTCCTCACACAGGCTCTCTCTCGAAGGGGGCCTCAGAGGCACATCTCTGTGGCTACCACACTCCTTTTGGTCAAAGCTCAGGTTCCTGAGGAGTTGTAGCACTTAGCTTATGCTGTGTTAACAAAGCCAGTATAAAACAGTGGCTTTAAAAAACATTTTAAATATTAATGTATTAATAAAAATAAATATTTAAAATGTTTTACATATTAAAAGTATTTTCCAAGTATTTGAGAGTTGGCTCTGCCAGCTCTGCTGATCTCAGATTTGCTCACATGGAGTCAGGTGGCTGTCATCTAATCTAGCCTGGCCTCCACTGGAGCAACAAGGATGTGGGAGCCAGCATCTCTCATCCTCCAGCAGGCTAGTCTGGACCTGTCCTTCTCTCAGCACCATTAGAAGCACACAAGGAAGCAAATGAAGACACACAAGGCCTCTTGGGGCTTACACTGGGAACTGGCACGCCTTCACTGCTGTCTCCTTATGTTGGCTGAAAGACGTCACATGGTTGGAGACACTGCAAAGTTACACAGCAATGGACATGAATGCAGGGAAGGGTGAAGGACTGGAGTCATCTTTTCAAACAACTACAGAATCCAGCTGATCATAAAGGATTTGTTTTCTTTTTCCATAAGTATCATTGCTGATGTTGCCTAACTAGTTTCTTCCTTCCTCCTCTCTCAATGGCACCTGAATATCAGAGTCAGAGAAAGGCAAGAAATATGACAACAGTCACAAATATCATAAGAAACATTTGAAAACCACTTTTTATCCAGTTTTCTCATTGTCTTAGATCCAACAGGAATAAGTCCTGTGAATCTAAATGGCCAACTTTAGATAAAGAGCCATTTTTCTTAATTGATTATTCCACTTCTCCTAAAGTATTTATAATGAGATGTACTAGCTGTTGTGCAGATTTTGCCTTGACAGGCCCATAAATAATTGAGGGCCCCCTATTATCTAAAACTATTTTAACCAACACATTTTCACAGGTCTCTTGGGCCTCTAAAGCTTGAGCTGTTTTATTTACTATTTGGGCCATAGTCAGGGATAAAAATGTTTAGAAACATGTTTTAGTTTAGAAATACCTAGTGAGGGTTAGAAATTCTTAGTCAAACTAGTGAAATCTGATGGTAAGTTATTGATCAGATAAAGTATGAGGAATTCCCCTCTCTGAGCCATAGTTTCTAAATGTGTGAGAAAAACAAGCAGCCCACACATAGTTCAGGGCCTGGTCTGAACACTCAAGTCTGGTTCATTCACAGAGATATAATACTTGCTTAGTAACTTGGAGAAACAGAGGGAGGCTTTACAACACATCACCCCAGAGTCACAAACCACCATACAAAGGTCAGATGGCATGTGACAGCTAGGTCCTCTGTGAAAGGAAACTGGATTGGAACAGAGCCAACATTCCCAACACCTGATGGTGAACAGGGACTGACAAAGTCCTCTCCAGCAGGCCTGTCCCTTGAGTCTCGTAAGGTTGGCAGCAGCCGCCCTAAAAGCTTTTTCCTAGCCCAAGACGCAGGGCTGAACTTTGCTTTGGAGCCCCTTACCTTTTTCCAATGAATCAAAACAATTAATAAAATCAATCCAGCAGCAAGGAATGAAATAAGCCACCCATAAGTGGAAAAGATGTCTGTCTTCTCAGGTTCTGCAGAGAGAGAAGGAAAACATTAACAGGAAACCTACAGGCAAGGGCCAGAGAAACCACACAACTGCTGCTGGGATCTGTGTGGTTGTGTCATCCTCCTTGTCAGAGATTTAACCACCAGCCCTCTACCACATGTCTCAGCGTCTCCATTCCTATCACATATACCTCCACACACCGAACAGTGTATGTAGCGCTTGCCAAAAATATGGAAGATGAACACCACATACCACATAAGTGTGCCACCCTCATCTTCAAACCTTCTGTAATAGGACACCATCTTCTACTCCTATGTGCATACCACACAGACAACACCTCATACCATACATGCAAGGTATATTTCCATTTCATACTCCCAGTGGACACACATACCCTCCCTGCAGCCCTGCACACACCACCCATACACACTCCTAGTCCTTACTTCCAAGAATAATTCCTCTCTCCCCAGGACCATCCTGGGCCCCATCTGGCATAGCCTGACCACATTCCTCAGTGCCCCCAGTCACTCCCTGCCTTCTTTACTCCTCTCAGACCCAGGGAGATGCATTTTACCAGCAGAGCTACCCCTACCCAAGACCAGAGCTATGACCAGGGCATATGAGCTCAAAAAGCCCCACCCCACCAGCAGGAGTGGGTCTGCCGTGAACTGTGTTTTAAGGATCCAGTGTGCCTGGGGAAGGCACTGAGCATTTGCAGAACCACTCTACTGTAGCCTCCCCATCTTGGGACACAGCCCGTAAAACAAGACTACTGGCCAGGCGCGGTGGCTCATGCCTGTAATCTCAGCACTTTGGGAGGCCAAGGCAGGCGGATTACCTGAGGTCAGGAGTTCGAGACAAGCCTGACCAACATGGAGAAACCCCGTCTCTACTAAAAATACAAAATCAACTGTGCGTGGTGGTGCATGCCTGTAGACCCAGCTACTCAGGAGGCTGAGGCAGGAGAATCGCTTGAACATGGGAGGCAGAGGTTGTGGTGAGCTGAGATCACGCCATTGAACTCCAGCCTGGGCAACAAAAGCAAAACTCCATCTCAAAAAAAAAAAAAGACAAGACTACTGATTCAGCCTCTACCAGCCTACCAGCCAACAGTTTACAGTGAACCTAGAGCCTGACTAGAAGGGCTGCTAGCAGGACTGGTCCCTGGCCCCTGATAGCCCCTTATCCTCAGGGAACATGGGTAGGATACTGTCCCCATTCCCCTAGCAGCTGGCAGGTTCCCTATTTCAAGCCATATGGACCATCCAAAACCCTGAAGCTGCCATGAGCTGACAAGTCGCTCTGCTCCACCTGATGACTATGGTCACCACTCTAGACCATCTTCTGCCCAGGTGTAGGGACCTAAGCTGGACTGCTGACTCTGGGGCTGAGCTAGGCCAGACCCCAGCTTGGTCCTTCCAGTCCAAGCTTTCTCTCCTTCCCCTTCAGTCCCCAGCTAAGACCCCGGGCTGTGTGGGAATAAGTCTTATGTTACAGTCCCTCAAGGCAGGGAAGAGAAGAAATGTCCAGAAAGACCCTTACCAGAAAGACTCTGCCGAGGAGCAGTCAGGTTAAAGTCGATGCTCACAGGAGTATGCAAGGACTCATGCCATATCACACATTGGTAGACAGTCCCAGGGTCTTCCTGAGAGGAGTTCAGCTTCAAGGAGCTAGTGATGTTAAATGTACCATCCATATTCTTGATGGTGGGACCAGTGATGATGTTCTCAGAAATCACTACGTGATGGGGAGACTTCTGGGTCCTCTTCTCCCATGTTATATTAATATCCTTTGGATAGAACCCACTTGACTCACACATATATTTGCCTTCATTCTCTTTCACCACCGCTTGATCCTGAAACAATCTGCTGGTTGGGGAAGCTGCCAGGGAAAAAAAAGTCATATAGAGTTGGGCCCAGCAGCCTTTTATCCCTGCCACACCTTAAGCTAACTGGCTTCTACCATACCTTCACACCTGTGCATCACTGCTCCTGTAGCCAGATAAGACAAAAAACACAGGATGCCTACTCTTTTTAAAAGATGGGGACTCTGAGGCATAGATAATGCTGCAACCATGTCCAGCAATGAGCTGAAGATTTACAATATCAGACTGGGCACTCCTTAAGGGTAGGGAGGGATTAGCTTATTATCAGCCTGACATCTGACCCATGGCAAGCCTTCAGGACACGCGAGTGACTGAATGAAAGTCAGCCTGGGCTAAATATTCTGGGTATGTCGGTGCCAGTGCCAACCGAGTGTTGACATGCTGTGATCCCAACTCTCATAGCAATTTTGTAAAGCAGAGTTTTCTTAAGCTATGTTGTGCCACAGACACCTTTCATAATCTGAGGAAAGCCTTGGAACACTGTTGTGGTAGAGACTGCTAATTGCTCTTCAATTTCTATTCTATGCACTTTTAGCTGGCCATGACATATCCAGATTAAAGCTGTATCACCCAACCTCCACTGCAGGTACGTTTGGCCATGCAAACTCAAGGTCTAGTAGGTCTGGAATTAAGCAAAAGTGGCAAAAGCAACTTCTAGGAAGTATCCTTAAATTAAAAGGATGTCTTAAAAGACTGTCTCTTTCTCTCTGTCTGTCTCCTTCATATTTCCTGCAGGATGTCTGGAATACTATGTGATGACTGGAGATGGATAGGCCATTTCCAAACACAAGGTGGATGATACATACTGAAGATGGCAGAGTGACAAGATAAAAGGATCATGGGTCCCAGATGATCACAGAGCTATCTGCCATATCTGCCGTTGGCTGGCTACATCAGTTCTGAAAGAAAAATAAACTGCCATTTCCAAAACCACTATTGACTTCCAGTTTTCCCTCTCACATGAGAGGTCATCGCTCCCACCCTATAATAAGAACAAAAGCTGAACACATTGAAAATCAACCACTTTTCTTAGATTCTTCGGAGAATTGAAGTGACAGGGCAAACTGCGATTCAGAAAGCTGGAGAAAGAAGGAGATTAAGAAAATTACAGCTAAGACAAAATTGCCTCATGCAGAAGCTGCTGGAGTCATAAACTGGTAGAAGTACTTAAGCAGTAACTCCGACAAACTAGTAAAGGATGAGTGTGGACTAGTTTGAGAATAAAAACCTCCTCAGGTTCTGGTCTTAGGGATGCTACCATATTTTCATGGGTTTTCATCCTCAGGACCCAGTCTTGGGGATGCTACCACACTGTCATGAGTTTTACCTCCAGGAACCCCAACAGATTCTCACAGTAAAGAGCCAAGAAAAATCTCCTCTTCTTTCTGGGGGATGGAAAGAAGTAATCATTTTAAAATACACCCAGATTATTCCCTCCATCTCAAGGGAAGATGTCAGAGCCTTATCTGACCTGGGAGACGAAAATTAGGCAACTCCAGCTGTCTATAGCCTTTCTGTATCACTTAAGAAGAGAGAGAAAGAAAAGGCTAAGAAACACTTCTGAAGGTCACAGTCCAGGGGCTCAGGCCACTAAAAGAATAAGATTAATTATAAAAGTATAAACAGATTCTCCTTCAACACTTTACTACCACATCAACAGGGATCCAGTATAGTAACAGAAAATTACAAGTGAGAGAGCTACAAGGCACAGACCCTATTTAAGGAGTTCATAAGGAAACTCAAAGACAATAGGAAAGGAGAGAAAAAAGCACTAGAGAAACTGAAATCTCTGGCACCTATAGCTATAATAAGCATTAAACGCAACCCAGTTCCTAGCCAAATTAACATAAAGCTTCATAATAAAAGCCTGATACATAATATCTCTCTTTCAACTGAAAAATTACAAGACATGCTAAAAAGTACATAAAAACCAAGTAAACATCAGACCCAGACTCAGGTATGACACAGATTTTAGAATTATCATATAGGGACTTTTAAAAAACTATAATTAAAATGTTAACAGCACTAACAGAAAGAGCAGATAACATGCACAAACAGATGGGTAATATAAGCAGAGTGATGGAGATGCTAAGAAAGAACCAAAAGTGAATGCTAGAGCTCAAAATATCATTAAAGAAATGAAGAATGCCTTGAGTGGGTTCATCAGTAGACTTGAAACTGACAAGGAGGCTGGGCACAGTGGCTCACACCTATAATCTCAGCACTTTGGGAGGCTGAGGTGGGTGGATCACCTGAGGTCAGGAGTTCGAGACCAGCCTGACCAACATGGAGAAACCCCATTTCTAATAAAAATACAAAATTAGCCAGGCATGGTGGCGCATGCCTGTAATCCCAGCTACTTGGGAGGCTGAGGCAGGAGAATCACTTGAAACTGGGAGGCGGAGGTTGCAGTGAGCCGAGATCGCACCACTGCACTCCAGACTGGGCAACAAGAGCAAAACTCCATCTCAAAAAAAAAAAAAAAAAAGAAAAGAAAGAAAGAAAGAAACTGATAAGGAAAGAATCAGTGAGCTTGAAGATGTTAATAGAAACTTCCCAAACTCAGAACGGTGTGGTGGCTCACGCCTATAATCCCAGCACTTTGGGAGGCCAAAGTGGGCAGATTGCTTGAGGTCAGCAGTTGGCGACCACCCTGGCCAACATGGCAAAACCCCATCTCTACTTAAAAAACAAAAGTTAGCCAGGCATGGTTGTGCACACTTGTAGTCCCAGCTACTCAGGAGGCTGAGGCGCAAGAATCGCTTGAACCTGGGAAGCAGAGGTTGCAGTGAGCTGAGATCCTGCCACTGCACTCCAGCCTGGGAGACAGAGTGAGACCCTGTCACAAACAAAAATTTTAAAAAAAGAAACTTCCCAAACTGAAATACAAGGAGAAAAAAGAATTTTTAAAAAACAGAATATCCAAGAACTGTGGGATACTACAAAAGGTGTAACAGATATATAATGGGAATACAAGAAGAAGAAAAGAGAAAGGAGCAGAAGAAATACTTTGAAGAAATAATGGCTGAGAATTTTCCAAAATTAATGATAGACACCAAACTACAGACCCAGGAAGCTTAGAGAATACCAGGCAGGATAAATATCCAAATATGCCTATCCACATCTAGCCATATCATATTTCAACTTTAGAAAGACAAAGATGGCCAAGCATGGCAGCTCACTCCCATAATCCCAGCACTTTCAGAGGCCAAGGCAGGTGGATCACTTGAGCTCAGAAGTTCGAGGCCAGCCTGGGCAACACGGCGAAATGCCATCTCTACAAAAAATACAAAAATTAGCCATGCTTGGTGGCACCCACGTGTGGCCCCAGCTACTTGGGAGGCTGAGGTGGGAGGATCACTTGAGCTTCAGCCCAGTAGGTCAAGGCTGCAATGAGCCGTGATCACACCATTGCACTCCAACCTGGGAAACAGAGTGGGACCCCATCTTGAAAGACGAAAGAAAAGAAAAGGGAAAAGAAAGGAAAGAGAGAGAGAGAGAGAGAAAGGAATGGAAGAAGGAAGAAAGGAAGGAAGGAAGGAAGGAAGGAAGGAAGGAAGGAAGGAAGGAAGGAAGGAAGGAAAAAGAAAAAAAGTCACAGGGAGAAAAACACACCTTACATATAGAGGAACAAGAACAGCACTGGACTTCTTGTCAGAAACAATGCAAGCAAGAAGAGAGTGAAGTGAAATTAATTTAAAGCATTGAAACTTTAAAAAGAGAAAACACCAACACGGAATCTTATATCCAGAACAATTTTCCTTCAAAGGTGAAGTATAAATAAAGACTTTCTCAGACAAACCTTTCACCAACAGATCTGCTGTGCGAGAAACATAAATAACGAAGTGCTTAGCAGGCCAGGCATGGTGGCTCATAGCCTCTAATGAGGCACTTTGAGACCCAAGGTGGGAGATCCGCTTGAGCCAGCCAGGGAGCTCAAGACCAGTCCTGGGCAACGCTAATGAGCTCCATATCGTGTAAAAACAAACAAACATAACAAAAAAAAAGCCCTTCAAACTAAAGCCCGCGCGTGGTGCACGCCTGTGGTCCCAGCTATTCCAGAAGGCCAAGTGCGAGTATTCGTAGTGCCCAGGAGGGTCATAGGCCTGCGCAGTGAGCCATGATCCCCGCACCACTGCACCTCCAGCCTCGGACAACAGAGCGACGTATGTTGTGCAGAAGAAAAGGAAAGAGACGGGGAGGCGGAGAGGAGGGGAGAAAGTAAGGGTAAC